ACACACACACACACACACACACACACACACACACACACACACACACAATCTCCGACCCTGAGACGCAAAGAGCAAGACGCGAAGCTCCGGGCGCAGGCCGGCCGCGGGAAGCCCGCTTGGCAGAAGGGGCAGCGGCAAGGTACCTGCGTCTGCGTGAGTCCCAAGGAGGCCGCGAGCTCCGCCCTCTCGGGCAGAGCTAGGTACTGAGTTTGCTGGAACCTCCGGTTCAAAGCCTGCAACTGCAAACTGGAATAAATCGTCCTGGGTTTGCGGATCTTTTTCCCCTTGCCATTGAAGCGCACTTCACCGCCTTCCACCACCGTGCTCTTCTCGGAGTCAGCCCCTGGAGGGACAGCAGAAGCGGAGGGCCGCTGTTAATGCAGGGACAGCCTTTAGTGTGGGGAGCCCAGGGCCAGTGGCAACCGAGGGGTGGCGGTGGCTGGGCTGAGAGAAAGAACGCTCAAGAAACTCCGAAAGCCAGGGAAGTGTCCCGTAAAGTCCGAGGGCCAGACCCCGGCCGCTGCAGGCGGACTGGGGCAGTTCCCAAGCGTGCAGTTCCTGCCTTTGCAGGGAAAGTTTGCTATTTTTGCAGGCGGCAGTTGAGGTTTAATTACCCTTAATTGCATACATTGTTTATAGCGCTACGCAATAAATAATTACTGAGACTAATACGTGCACATGTGGGTTTCTGTTTTCCAAAGGGGCATTGTGTGCTCGGCGCACAGAGCCACCCAGAGGCCCAGACAGTGCCAGGGGATTTATCTCAGATTTATCCTTTACTGGATAGTCGCGAGTTGGGTGGAATTTTGAAATATTTTTTTCTTTGCTATGACAAGGATCCATAGATTGATACCCGAAACCTCCATTGCTCCGGCGCCCTCCCCACCCCCACCTCTCTCTCCCCCTCTCCCTCCTCTCTCTCTCTCTTCCTCCCCCTTCTTCCTCCCTCCTTTCCTCCCTCCTTCTGTCCCTCTCTCCCTCCGTACCCTTTCCTCTCCCTCTCCTTCTCCCTGGCAGACGCACGTACCTGGGTCCTCCAGGCGGCTCTGGGCGAGGCTGGCGCTGCCCGGGTAGGACTGCACCGAACTGATGTAGGGGCTGGACGCGTGGCTGCTGACCGAGTTGACGTAGGGGTAGCCCAGCGGTCGGGAGAAAGACGAGGCCGAGCTGTAAGCGCCGTCGGGCTGCGAATGGCCCGCCGAATGTAAACAGTGCATGGAGTAGTGCCCGTGGGACATGGGAGAAGGAGACATTTGCTGGTTGGGTGGCCCAAACTCCATAAACACCGCCTTGCCCGACACGGGGCTGTTGAGACTTTCTGGCATGGTGGTCATGGTCATCTCTTCTCGCGGGGTCTGGGTGTGGGTCTCTCTCTCTCCTCTGCTTCCCTTTTGGGGGTCTCTGTGTTTCTCAGGACAGGAAGGAACCCAATTTAAGCGGAACAGGGGTTTTCACTTTCCATTCATAAGAAAATGGAGTTTGTCTCTTTGAAAAGTCTAAGCATGATGCTGCCGAGCTCCCCAAACTCGCTTCAAAGCTTTGACTCAGCCAAGGTCATAAATATTCATGAGCTGACGGAGCTGATTGGTCCGCTGTCTTGCATAATCACCGGGGATTGGTCCGAGGCGCTCCGGCTCCGCTGGACTAGAGCGGGCGAGGCGGCCGGGCCTCGGGAGAAACGCGTCCACACTTCCCGGCCGGGGCTCCTCTGCAACAGAGCGCGCCGCGTGGGGCGCACAATGGGCTGCAGCACCCGCGCCGGGACCTCCGCGGCCCGCGGCTCTTCAGCCTCCCGCCTCCCCCGGCGCGCCGTACTTCCCAGAAACCAGCGGCTCGGCGCAGCCGCCCTCCCCCCACTACGGTCCCCACCCTCCGCCCGCCCCCAACGCCCAGAAAGGGGCATCGCTTCTCCCAGCCGCCGTCACCCGGTCCAGCGGTCAGCTAGGGCTCCGGAGCCCGGCCGCGGCCTCGGAGCGCGAAGTCGCGCACGGGGGTGGGGGTGGCGGCACCGGAGGCGGCCAACCGAGCGCTGTCCTCCCGAGAGCCGTGTGCCTAGCGCAGCGCTCCCCTCGGCGGCGCCTCCCTGGCTCGGGTCCGCTCTGCCACATCCCTGGGGGCAGGTTTGGGGCCCTCTGGGCGAACTCACTCACTCGGCCGCCGCGCCGCCGCCGCCGTTCCCTGGGGCCCGCTCGCATTGCTCCAGGCCCAGCTGGCCACTCCAGCTCGAGGCTGCACCGGTCTGATTAAAGCAGTGCGCGCGGAGAGCCAGGAACCCGCGCTTCTCCTCCCAGGAAAGGCGGCCGCACCGCCCCCTCCCCCCAACACACACCCCCTCTTTCCCTCCCAACCTTCCTCCGCCTCCCCTTCCTCTTCACTCCCTCTGCGCCGAAAGCCCCGGACGCACTCGCCCCAAGGGCGCGGCGCTGAGTGGAGCCCAGGAGCCGGCGGGCTCAGTTTGGCTTGAGCAACCAGCACCAGGTGGTCAGTTTCCGGCCTTCCGGGGTCTGGCGAGAGTACCCCGGGTTTAGGAGTCCTGGGGAACACCGAAACCCGCGGCAAAAACAGGCCAGTGGCAGGCTCGCATATCTTTGTACAATCATGTCTCTCATTGTCGCCCAGGATCCTCCTCATCTCCAGTGGTCAAAGCGGGCGCCACTGGGCCTGGGGGCAGGGCTAGCAAAAGCTGCCACGGCGCCTTCTATCTTCTGGGGCGCTAGGTACAGAAAAGCGCACAAAAGCCCCCCGCCGCCGCCACCACACAGCCACCCCCACGAGGCGTGGCGCACACCACGCTGCCTGCTAGGGACTGTTGGTTCCCCATCCCGCCAGCCCCACGGTGAATCCCAAATTACTTTGTTAGGTAATTAGAAAGTGTTGATAATTATTTCTTTCATAATTTAGCGGTGTGACGGGAACGGGGAAATGATCTTGTGAAAGTTCACACGTGCAGATGTATTAGTTACTGATTCATTTGATTAAATGGTAGTCTCAAGTGCTCCGATCCGCAGCTGAAGGCGCCCCATTAGCATAACACTGATGTTTAATTTTCATACGCATAATTAGCCATATATTTAACACTAATAGCAACATGCAGCCTTTCAGCGTTAAACAGCCCGGGATTTGATCTGGCCTGAGCTGAACCTTCGGCGATGCACCTTCCCCTGTCTGGAGTGCTCAATGATCACAGGACAAACCTCTGTAATCAAGCACATTTTGGCAGAGGGAACACCAATAAAAATGAACATTCAAAACAAATTACATCGTGCTGTCGTTACAGATATTAGTGGAAGGGGCTTCTCTCTTTTTTAACTTCTGTAGCCGCAGCTGCTGCCCGCGGAATCCCTCTCCTTTGGTTTAAGGGCATGATGTTGGGGATAGCAATATTTCAGGCAGCGTGGTTGGAGCAAAAAGAAAAACAAAAGCAAAAAAAAAAAAAAATCCTTCAAACCAATAACGGGTTTGCCAACGTTTAAAAAGATTTTTTTTTCCCCTTAATCACCGAACCACACGGTGATGCTTTGTAGTAACAACCAGCTAATGACTCCGCCACCAGACTGCTCTTGGAGCCGCTCGACTCCTCTTGATTTCCTTGTTGCACTTGTGGTTTTAATAGCTCCTTCCTAGCGCCTGTTTCGGGGTGTGGAGTGAGGTGCGGTACGCACGCACGACAGCACGGATGCCGCCCGGGCCCCCGGTCTTTCGCGCGCACCTATAGCGGGCCCTGCCCACGTAAGTGATTGCCTCGGCTGGCGCGGGGTCGGGGTTGGGACCGTGGGAAGTGGCTGTTGACTTCGGGCGCTCAGGGCTACGCGTGAGGAAACCCGACGGCTGGGTTTATTCCAGAGAACTGAAAGATGAGGGAAGGGGGGAGAGACGGCCACAGGTCGCGACTGTCTACAGGGCTCTCGGTCCACATCTGGAGGGGGAGAATCCAAGCCTTTCCAGCGCAGGGGACAGGGCTGGCTCCGTGGAACAAAGGACCCGCACGCGCCCCCTCAGAAAAAGGTTTCAGAGCCTTGTTTGTGTTAGAAATGAATTATATGTGGGCGAGGGAGTCTCTACATTCGGGAATTATTTCCTAGCCCCAGAGAAGCAGGTCTGGGGAAGGAAGGCTGAGCCGGGGCCCTCGGGAGCGGAGACGCCAGGCCTTGAGTAGCTTCTGAGTGAGCGATCTTATCTCCCCCCACTCTCGGAGCCCAGAGTGGATCCCTCCCCCGCAAGTCCCCCAAACCCCCGCTGTTAAGACACCTGTTCTGAAACCTTGGTTTGCTAAGATCTTTGCCTGCCCCAACTCTGTGAGGGAGCAAAACTCTCACATTTATTCTGAGAGTCCCGGATTCCGAGTAGAACCTGTTGGAGACACCGCAGGACCCGCGCCGGGTGGTGGTAGCCATGGCCACGCGTGGGCGGAAATCCCCGCGGCCCCGCGGGAGGTTTGGGGCCAGTTCATCTGGGAGGTGGTAGCTGTGGTGCACGGGGTATTTTTAAATCTGCTTTCTAACTTCAACTTCAAAGCAGGTTAAACGGAGTTCGTTCTCATTCAAGTTTGTTTCCTACGGAGCGAGTATTGGCTGGTGCTGGTATATATACATACACGTGTGTATAATATTTAAATTAGGCTTGAACTAGTTACTTTAATATATAGGATTATAAACCTGTCCCCCAAATACTTCCATCTCAGAATAATTGCTGCCCAAGCAGCATGTTATCCCAGTGGATGGTAAAATCCTGTGGTCCTAATAAAATTATTCTTGAGGAACTTGGAGTAAACTGATCCGTAGATAAGATAAGTGGCTAACCATTGCAATCTGATTGTTCTAGGAGAGAAGTGCAATCATTATCTGGCAAACCTCCCCCAGGGCCATCTGGGCCTGGTTCCTTACTAGAGAATTGGATGGGTCCAGAGCAGCAGCCTCATCTTGAGGCTTTTGCTTGGCCAACTCTCAAGCATCCCCCAAGTTTTTCTATGGTCCTTTAAATCTTCAACCTTTTCCTCGTCTTTTCCAGCTCTCAGATCCACTTGAATTGGAACTACTTCGGTCCAAATTCTACATCTCTGGACACAGAGAAAGGGAGTTGGAGGGGTTGGAGGACACCTGAGAGAATCCAAGTTTAGGGAAAAGCTTGAACCAGCCACTTTTCTGAGTGCACTTATTGGCTTCAGTTTCCCATCTCTTCTCCACTCTGAGTGTCACAAAGTGAGCTGCCTCTTGGGTCCTGATCACAGAGGCCACCTGTCATGATAACTACAGGTGCTCACATTTCCTTGATGCTCTGCAGCTCAAGCTGTATTTAGAGGGTGGCAACTTTGCAAAACCCGTTTCAGTAGAAGCAAAAGTTAGCATAACCCCTGACTGCCCACTGAAGTTCAGACACCTTCACTGAACTTGCTCTTTAAACTATGACCAGAGCAGGGATAGTTTCTATGTGGTCTGCTAGAGGCCCCAAACCTCTTCACCTGAGCCCAGGTGTGAACAGGTGCTGGGGGGGGGGGCCGGGTGCTGAGGAAGGAAGGGTATTCTGATCAGAAATCGGCCTTTGGGAAATGCAGAACGTGGCCCCTTGGATTTCCTGCTTCGGAAGCAGGTGGAGCTGTGGGCTTGCCAGCTCGAATCCCAGCTAACTTGGCTCTAGCCCTCAAAAGTTTCCGTATCTCCCCGTGCTGGGATCCTCTGGGTCTCCATCAGAAGAGCACAGTCCAAAAGGGGCCAATATGGTCTGCTTAGGAGGTAGACCAGCTGGACACTGCTCACATCTGGACAGGTGGGGCCGATGTTCTAATTCCTAGTGCAACATACAGTCCTGTGTGTGTGTGTGTGTGTGTGTGTGTGTGTGTGTGTGTGTGTGATGGGAGTTCGGAGAGGGGCTCTCAAAAGTAACCTCAGGGATGGCCACTTAGGGTAGGATGAGGGACAAGTCGGAGGAGCCACAGGGGACTGGGAAAGTCATGTTTCTGGACTGATAAAGCCCTGTAGGGACCAGGCCCAGGGTTCACAGGCAAGGAAATGTTTGTGACCAACCCTTCCATTTGCGGGCTAATCTTTTCATCTCCAAAAGCAGCTATGAAAGGCCGGGGGGGGGGGGGGGGGTTGGCCCCTGAGAGTGCCAACGTGGGATCCACAAGGCAGAAAAAAGAGACTTTAAAACAATTACCAGCTAACATCTAGGCTCATTTTTCCCTCCTTACATGCACATGTGAAAAGTTTAGAGATTCAAAAATTAACCACCCACTCTCTCCCCCTAGTAACTGTCAGAGATGCAAGGAGCACAGACACAATGGTTAAGAAGGAAAAGCTTTTTACTTGGTCAGAGTCAAGACAAGGCAAAGCGAAAACCATGCATCTCTAGAAATCCCTCCTCTTCCAACCGAGGGCGTCCCCATTCCCCTCCAGAATCTTTTCCCTGCGTTGGGAAGTGCGGAGCGTTGGGAAGCCGAGCCGGCTCCAGGATCCATCCCTCTGAAGCCGCTCAGGCCAAGGCAGGGCTTGAGATCTGAGTTCCCAGCTGCCCCCAAACCCCACCGGGTTTTTCCAAGAGTAAATGCTAGGTTGGTTACTGCGTGAACTGCCGTTCGCCTGTGTCTTTTAAAAGTTCTCCAGCTAGATTTCAACAATTTAGGATAAAAACCTCCTGGCCTCTGTGACCTTCAGGTGGCTCCTCAGGCCTCGTGGGGCAGTTTGGTCAGGATCTCCACGCCCCCCGACGTGATGAGAACGGTGTGCTCGAACTGGGCGGACCTGAAACACACACAGCAGCCATGGGAAAGAGCGACACCCCTAGCTGTGGGGTCGGGGTACGGGGGCGAGGAGCAGCAGCCCGCCAGGGCCAGGGCCGTTGATCGAAGCTTCCCTTCCCATAGAATTCAAAGCCAATGGCACAGAAAGCAAACACCTTTGATTGTCCAGGGAGACCACAGTCCATGCATCCTCCAGGACTTTAAATTCGGGGGATCCCTCGGTGATGATTGGCTCTGTAAGAGGGAAAATATTTACTGCAGTGATCTAATCATATTCTTGTCAAATATTGTTTCTGTTTCGGCTGATTATGAAAAAAGAGAATAAGATGGTTCTCCTCCCCTCCCCGCAAGCGCTTCCCCCACGGGTTCATGTTGTCATCTCGCAAGGGCTGATAATTGATGTTGCTTACATAGTATACTACAAACTAAACAGTAGGAAGAGGAAACACCACCGCATTAAAAAATGTATGAAGTTGCCTAGTTCGTAATTTTTTTTTAGAAAAAAGGGCATTTTAATCAAGCCTTAATTAGGACCCTGTGGATAATAACCACCCAAACACCAGTCCCTCTTATAAATACCAGTCAGTTTTTAAAAATATTTGAATTTTTAAAACATGCTCAAAATGTTCATTAATCAGCAAATAACAATTTTCTTATTTCACTCTAATTGCTTCTCCATTAAGTACCACAGTCAGAAAGATGATGCCTCTGAGGTCTGAGGTGACTGGAATTTGGTGGTGACACCAACCACATGATCAGCCAGGAATGGGCAGCCAGAAAGGACATACCACTTGCTGACAGAGAGCAAGGGACATAATCACTTCTAGTCACTGGGTGTTAATGAAAAAAACAAAACAAAACCCCAAAACCAAAAAACAAACAAACAACAACAACAACAACAAAAAAACCACCAAAACAAAACCAAAACAAGACAAAAAACCAAACACCACATTATGCTGGTAACAAAATTAGAGGTTGGACGGCTGCCGTCTCCTAAATGTGTCGGTAAGTATCTGATTTAGGAAGATGGGACTCGAGGATATTATTTAATCAGATTTGCTATGCATCTGAATTATTTCATTACACTGATTGGCTTTATTATTCCTTCACGGCACTGCGTGGCCTAGGCCAGCGCTGCTGCCTCCACCCAGGAGCCACCGCTCTCTAAAGGGGAACTTGGGCACTGACCTATGGTGAACGCCATTCCCTCCTCCATGAGTAGATCGCTGTCATTCGCTGCAAAACAAAATATATGGAGTAGGGGGAGTGGGAAATGGAGAGAAAGAGAAACAGAATTAGAAGGACAGGACTGCTCAAAAACCTTGGTCATTTTACTTATTTTCTTTTAGGGTAGAAGGAAGGATGGAGAGATCTAGAATCCTGGTAGTGGCTACTGCCAAGGGGTTAAACACAGGGGTTCTGGGCCTTAGCCTCTACATTTTCTTTGCTGGGGGTCAAGACCCCTGGGAAGGGTGCACCAAGGCCTAGCAGAGGCAGCCTGGGTGTTCCAGACACCTGTTGCGTTCCCCCCTCCACTGTCCCCTGGCCACTTGCTTCAAGGTCTCCTGGTTTCACTGGGTCCTAGGCCCTGCCCTCCTAGCCCAAAGAGGAAGATACCTTGGGGAACTGATACGAAGGGAAGGCAGCCACTTAGTGTGCAGATTGGAGCAGGAGGCTAGGACAGGGCGGGTAACCCTGCAATAACTCCAAGTGTTGGGGCAGGGTGGGGTACACGCCTGAGATGCTCTGTCTGCACTCCTGCCCGGACCTCCTCTGAGCTGCCTGGGGCGGGGGGAGGAAGGACTCTCTGGTGCAAAAGGAATTCTGACCTACTGGGTCTACGGAGATCTTCCGGGTAATGGGTTCCAGGCGGTATTCCCTCCAGGGACTGCTCCCACCCCAAGCACACAGGTCAAGGCCCAACTTTCCTTTGGGCCCTGTCCAGGTGTGCAGCTCCCCTGGGGGCCACTCTATAGAACCACCTCCTACCCACACCCAAATCCTCCCACTGCTCTGGCCCACCCTTGCGTTCTCACTGTAGGGTGCACACCCAGGCAGTGAAAAGAGGAGGCTCTGGGGAAGGAACACAAGGGTGGGTATAATCTAGAAATCACTAAAGAGTACATGCTGCTAAATAGATCAGCTGTCAACGCTGTGTAGGATGTAATGAAGTTTAACCACAACAGTCAGCGGTTAGAGAAGGGGGTAGGAAAAGAAAAACAGAAAACAGTCATATGTGCATGCTGCTGGGACATTGATGCAGTGGCATTTTGTTTTCAGTAACTTTCTAGGCAAATATCCCTTGTGCCTTCTAGCCATCACCTTTTGTGGGAAGACAAAAAGCAAAATAAACCTTTCTTTGAGACTGAAAACTGCTGGGCTCTAATCCAATAACATTGTAATGTGCTGGTTACAATTAAGTAAACCCCCCCACCACTACACATACACATGCATACACACCAAAGGATGATAATAGGCATTCAAAGTTAGAGGAGCCTCAGGAACAAAACTGCCTTTTCCAGATTCCATTCAATCACTTTCTTACCATGATGCCAAATTTCTGGATGTCCATGAAAGTAAGATCCTATCCCATGTCCCACAAAATGTGGGCAGACTTGCAAACCATTCTGATGAGTTATGTGGCTTTAAAAGTGACCAAACAAAATATTTAATTAAATTAGGTAAGTTTTTAATGCATACTTAAAGTCACTTTAAAATAGCCCCTGAAAGAGAAAAAATCAGTTATATTTAGAATCAGATGATAATATTACTGTTTTCATTATTCTGGAATAATTAAAATTGTTGCCATTGCATGTAATGACTCCCTTTGGATAAATTAAGAAAAAAGGTATGTATCTAACATAGTAGTTTGTTTCATTTACCTTAGTACAGCATTCAAACAAGGCCACTTTTAGATGACAAATGAGTGTTATCTCATATATATATAGATCGATATACATAACCAAAATACATGTGTATAGAATGCAGGGAATAAAAACTTGCCTTGTTTGTATGAGGTTTCGCCAAAGACTGTGCAAATTAATACTAATTTGAGAACCAAACAGAGAAACAAAAATGCAATCTAGAAATGTGACTTCCTACTTTTATAGTTCCCTTGTTTTGGCCTATTTCAAAACATTATACATCTTAGAAACAGAAACACTCATACAAAAGGTCAAATCTGCTTTGTCAATATTCTTAAAATACTCCAAAACTTTGTGCTCATTGGGATTTCCATGCAAGACCTGTATCATTAACAAAATTCACACAGAATGTTTTTTAATCACTGTGATGCTTAAGAGAAGCTAGTATTGTGATTCCTAATTCTTAACGCTTTATTAGTTATTTCTACATGCAAATGTACTGGGTTCCATCTATTCCATATAAATGAAATGTGGCAAATAGAATCCAACCCTAAAATCTTCACCTATAAAGTTAAGAAGTTGTTTTTGAAATCAGGTGAACATATTCATTTCTAGGAGTACCACAAAGATAAGAACATATATACCATTAACAATTTATATTTCCACATGGATAAGGGGCACAGTGCCCTAACCCTAACCATAACAATAAATCAGGATTTATAGGACTCCTATTTAAATTTTTACCAAAATCAAAGTTTTCAGATCTCAAACTAGAGTTTCCAACAGACCCTAGGTTCAATTTAACATGAACTCAAAGGCAGCATGTCTATGAGCATTCATGTCAATAGTTATCACTGAATACGTTTAAGTTGCATCTCCAGACCTGTAAGATATCTTCCCTTGGACCAGGATGTCACTACAAATAGCAGGTGGACAGCCTCTCATTCAGAATTGATTTCCATGTAACCGATAGTGCAGAAATAGGTAAGCTAAGCATGTGTTGACAACAGGAATAATAAGTCAACATTTTTATCTCTTAAAGTTGTACCTTATGGTTATAGTTATTTCTATGTGCTTTTGCTCTTTGGGCAGGAGGTACAAAAACTTTTCCAAGGTGTTTCCATTTGTACCACACAATTTCTGAATAAAAACTGAGGAGTGGATAGAGGGTGGAAGAGAGACTGAGACAAGACAATACTGATCAAGACTTTTTTTTTTTTTTTTTACAAGAATGGGTTCTACTTAAACCTGTAAATTATGTGACTTCAATCCCAACTGACCTCAATGATTCTAAGAACAGTCAATGTAAACTGTTCTGTTTTATTTTCTAAACAAAACAAAACAAAACAAAACAAAACCCTAAAAAAAAACCCTGGGATCTAACTGATTGGTAGGCATCACGGCTACATCTTAAATGTGTGTTACAATGGCAATCTTCGTTTTAATTTCTGATGAAAGGAGAAGAAGAAAACCCACTCTGAAAAAACACTTGGGTTCCCTCTGCCATCATCCCTCTCATTCCTCTTCATAAAAAAAGCTGGGCAATTACAAGGTGGCTAAAGATATTTGAGTGCATTCTCCTACAACGATTTGCTGCCTGGATCCTGCTGGAACTTATGGTCATAGGAGTATCATAGAATGTATGCGTCATGAACGCAAAGGTCAGGATTTCACAGCCGGGTGGAAAGAAGAAAAGAACCGGACAAATTTCACTCAGCTCCTTGGCTAAGCACCCATCTCAATGCTTGATTCCCAGAAGCTAAGTATATACTTCTATCTGCTTTTTCAGGGTATTTTCCTTTTGGATTTGTAGTGAGCTTTTCAACACATACTTACTGGGACTAAATGCCATTAAATCTCATTAATGTCCCTAATTCCTACTTAAAATAATGCTCCTTCTACTACTTTGGAATATATGGGAAACACAAGATTATCTACCTGATTCTAGGGTCCAAATCTAATTTCATGGAGATAATCCAAGGGACCTGTAATAGCAGGTCCCGCTCTAACAGGAAAGCAAGTAGTGGTAACCCTGACTGTGGCATGGGAAGGTGGAGCATGTGTGCTTTTCTTAACTGGTGTGGTGAGGAAAATGGAAACAGCTGGACGGGCAGGGGTGCCCAAGAAATGCCTCCGTGGCGCCCCAACACCAGCCATTACAGGGCCTTGACCATTTCTGAGCACAAGGGTCTTCTTGTCCTGGACATTCCACTCATGAGATCTGCCTTCTTTCTGCTGAAATCTACTGAAAAGAATTCTCCTGGCATTAGCTGTTTTGTTCTGATTTTCCCTCACTAGAAATCCTCTCAGGCAGTACGTTTACCTATGAGCCTGAGCACGTTTATGACTTGAAGTCCTTCATAGGGACTATTTGGGGTGAGAGAAGAGGGGGAAGGAAGAAGGAAGTGTATAAACATAGTCTATGAACTTACTTTCAAATTATACTATTATTATAGTTCATGTTTCAGTTACAGTTTATAGTTGAAAGAGAAATCTCTCTTAAGGAATTTCATCTTGTGACTGTTTTCTTCAGTTTAATTCCCTTTCGTGAGGTAGTTTTCCTCAATTGAAGTATTGTCTGGAGAAATTAAAACTCTTAATACATTTCAGCTACATTTTATGACTAAGGATACATTCGCCAAGAGGGCAGAGGAGTACTGTATTTAAGTGCATGCTCTTCTAAAGAAATAAAAATGCACACGGAAATAGTTTTATCACCATTTCTACGTGAATCCTATAAACAGCACCAATTTCCAAACAGTCGTATCTCTGATTAAATGGCACCTGATCTTCCAAGTTACAGAATTTTACCTCAGTCTTTCCAGATTTTTATTTTAAGCAGTCAGCTTTGAATGAAGGAATGCACAAGTCCAAGGAATCCCTCTAATGACAAGTAATGTTTAAGTACAATTAGTAATATTTTTGAAAGCCAACAACCGTTTTCCAAAAGAACGGTACACGTTTATGTCTCAAGCTGGATCACAAATTACTGTATTTTTCTTACAATAGTGCTGAACTTTTATTTGAGGTTTTCTGTTTCCGAAAAGCAGACATGATGGGTTGAAATAAAAGATAATTTATTGCAGTGCTTACTTTCGTGTGCAGAGGGAAGCAGTGTAATTGTAATTTACAGTAGCTGTCAAGAAAAATCCATCACGGATGACATTAAAATGACTTATTTTGCCTGAGCCACTTATTGTTTAAATGTGCATAATCTAATAGAAAGAGATTATTTTTAAAAATCTGCTTTATATTCTTCTAAATTAATATCAAAACATATACTTATGAATTAAACATTAAAAACCATTTATTGATACTTTCATCATGACATTTACAACTGTAAGTTTAAATTATTTTTGATTGAACTGTCACATATTTGGGATGCGTGAATCTACACATTCACAGTATTCTCATATGCATGGATCATATCATCTAGAGATAATTACAAATACACGGATTTAGAAATAATTTAAAGCAAATGGAGGTACAGGGAGTATGGTAACACTGTAGCCCAAACATCACTAGCCATCCCTCATGAAGCACAAGGGCACAGAGAGAACTCTTTTCATTAAACTATTTTAGCCAGTGTTTCTCCGGAGATATCATCCCATCCTTACAGGCTTCAGAGAATTTCAAAATTTCCCATAAAGATCACTCGGTTTTTGGTGATGTACTACTCATAAAAGATGCTTGCATGTTCTTTTCATGGTGTATCAGGAGAAGGAATTTGTGCGAAAGATGGTAAATATCTTAAAATAAGTAAGGCTGGTTGAAAGATGCTTGTAAACCTTCGGTCTGTAATGATTCCAAGTACTTTTGGCTTAAAGGTGGAGATTGTTTATTTACTCCCTTGAGATCTTGCCTGAATAAGAAAAGGCGAAATAATAGAGGTCCAGAAACACTGCCTTAACACACCAGAACAAACATTTGTTAGTCCCCAGTGGCAGACACAAGCCATCTAAACAACGAAATGTATCAGGGTAAAAGTAAAAAGTTCATTGTCTATTATTTTTCACGTAGTTTTTGTAAGTGTAGTTGTTGAGACTGATCTGGTTTTCAAAGGAGCTTGTACATGCAAATTCATCCTCTGCGAAAACTGACCTTTGCGTCCAGATAGCTAAAATCCAATGTCACTTTCAATTCTACTCTTCCTCTTCTTCTTCTTCTTTTTATGTAGCTAGAATTAATGTAGTGAATATGTAATGAAATGCATTATCCTGCATGGAGATTTATCAGATTTTCCGACTGAATGCTACGCTTTGCGAGTACTAGCTGGAGTTCACCTGCATGTTGGTGTGGCGTGTGGCTCTTTTTTGTAAAGAGTTAAGTCGTACACAAAAAAAGGGAACAAAGGTCAGCACCCAGCCGCCACTTGAATGTGAGATTTTTCTTTTTATTCCCCTTGATGTATACTAGGCTCTGTGTTATTAGTCTTAATGATGGAAAATTGTAGTGTTGATACAAATCTTTTTTTCAAAGTAGTAGGCGGGAGCTCCATTTGTTAGTAAGTTTTTTTGTGACTAAAAGCCACGGACAGTACATTTATGTAGCAGTAAAAGGCCTAGATGCTCTTTCCATAGCAGAGCTAATTATTCCTACTGTGACCTTACTGATCTAGCCTGTTCCTAGCACATCTCATCTGCACGCCTGTTCCTCTGTGTAGATGGTGTCAGAGAATATGAAAAACCCTATAATGAAACCATTTTCATGATGGAGAAAGGCTACTGGAGTTGCACTTGCTACAAAGAGGCTCAATTATATGAGTAATTGTGATAATTTTCTACATTCATAGCCTTCAATGGGGAAAAAAGAATGAGAGCCACAAAGGAAAATTACTTTAACAAGAAAGTACAGAGAGTAAAAATGGAAGAAGAGACAAAAAGGGGAAAAAATAACCAGAAAAAAAGTTTAAAAAATAGATCTGGAGGGAGGAATAGCGAGACAGGGAGAACAACAGAAATGCTCAAAAGCCCATGTGCAGCTGTGTTGCACAATTAAATTGAATTTTTTTTTCTGCAGTTGATGAATGTGACTACTGCAAATGTGCCTCTGTAGTTAGCTATCATTTGTTGTTCCGTGACAGGAAAAGGATAATTACCTCTCAGAGAGAATCAAAGGCTGACATGCCCTTTAGACACAGCCATGAATGCAGAGCTCGATAGAATGCTTGAATAAGAATCTAGTGTTCTCTGCCCCCTTCTACTGAAGAATAAATTTTGTTAAAATGCAAGAGCACCACCAGTAAATTTGTTGAACCCTAGGTGTTCAAAAATATGAGATACATCTATCGACTCATCCCATTTGCAAAAATAAAACTGCATTTTGAATTCATTTCTATTATATTCATGGACAGTAAGATAGTGAGATATGCATTAAATTTCTTTTCCCAGTAGGGGTCTGATTCAACATTTCCTATGAAAGAACAGAGAGACACTATCCTTTTTTCCCAGGCTAGTTAGCCTATAATTTAAAACTGTCAAAAACACAATTTTGCTCGAAGTCTTCAATAAAAGCTTCTCAGATATAACCCAAAGAGATTTTACTAAAGTTTGATTCAGACATTGTTACAATATTTTTAAAGCCATAAATACATTTAACTGATATTTTATTGCCTTTTTTCTTAAAGTATTTGAGGGCTTACGAAGAAAAAAGGCAGCATCTTTTCAAGGTGACTACGCCTTCCATCCTTTAGACAAACGGGAAGTGTTCAATGGTTCATATTAATGAGAACAGTGCTTTAAAAGGTACTGATGTGATCATCTTTAACAAAATGTATTACTTTTAGATGAAAACACATATTCCGTATGTCTACTTCAAAACAGTTATGGGGGAAAAAAGATCTAAACGTAGGTAACAGATTATAGGGAAAAGTCTTGAATTCAGAAAATACACATATACTCACAAAGCACGCATAGAATACCGTTTGGAAAATAAACAATGGTGTACAGGAAAACTGAACCGGACGAGAAAAGGACATTAGCTTACCCTTTTAGCCTGTTTGCTAATCCACTGATTTGAAAGGTAAGGCTTGCTCGAGCTAATGCTTTTTACCTTTGTATCACAAGAATATGTTTCACTTCATTCCTTTATAAAATTTAGCTTTTCTCCTGTTTCATTACCCAAGAGTTGGGATGTTTACCCCCTTAGGTACTTTTTTCCATATTTGGTATGATTTTGAGTAAAGGAACACTACAGACTAGTATGTCGAGCTAAAACTAAAGCAGTCGTATAAATATTGCTTGCTGCTCTTATAAGTTTCCCGCTGACCTGAGTATAATTCACTGTTTTAAAGTCTTTCTTTTTTTTTTTTTTTTAAACCCAGGGAACAACACTGCAGCTTGGCAGTCCACATACTGATATCAGACTGAAATGATGGTTCTGAATCATAAAACATGTCATCAACTTTATACCAAGCCACCAATAACCTTTGTACCATTTGCCAACCCTCCCTTTACTTGTCAGTGTAAGGCTTACCTGATTGTGTTTCCAATTACAGAGAAGGGAGCCCCCGCTCTGCAAGCTGCAATTGCTTCATCTCTACACCTCCTGGCAACCTCCACTAACTTTTTACCACATTCGTCCACATTGCCCACCAAAAATGTTTCAGAGGTATCTCCATGGTAGCCATTGTAATAGACCTAAACACAGGCAAACATTTTAAAATATGTTCTTGTTTGTAAATGTACTCATTAAAGTATATATTGTGCTCATCTATGCATTTAGTAGATTCATATATTTCATTCTTCCAGAATTACTCTCAAGTTTCCCTACCAAAAAAAAAAAAAAAAAAAAAAAGGGACATGCTAAAGCCTCACAGAAATTTTAAAAAAAGAAGCCATACAACAATATTACAAAATTTAAAAATAAATATGTAATGGTAGGGCTATTTCAATAGCATTATGATTAGCAATGCTATTAAAATGTTTTGATACCTCATTTTGTTTCTGAGAAGACAAAACTACATATGCATAATTTACTGACCAAAGACACTGACCCATAATTACTATAATAGGTCTAAAGAACCCAGAAGTATTTAACATAGTGAGAAGTTTCTTCAGTGTCATGGAGATATATGATCTTTTATTTACCATTTCTATACTTGGAAGTGATAGATAAGAAGAAATAAAATAGACTTGTCAGTATTAGACATAGGAGAATTTAGTTCTAAGAATTGAAGTGGCTTGATATGAGAATGAAATATGCTATGGAAAAGTCCTATCTGGAAGTGAAACCTTAATCAAATGTTCCAGATAGCAGAATGTTAACAGAAAACACTATACATGGGTTTTAAAGGATTAAACGATAACAAAATAGACTTAAGGATAAAATTATAGAAAAAACAATTTTATCAGTTGTCAATGATTCAGAAGGCCCCATAGGATCTTGAAAAATACCAGATTTGTTATAAAAATCAATAATAACAAACACTATAATAAACAGAGAAGGTAGAGGAGACTGGTTGAAAGCTGATCCTTAGACATAGCATGGCATTTGCTATTTTGCATAAATTTGACCTATGTAATTATTTTTCACATTTCTCTTTCTCATGAAGTAGAATGCAGAAACTTATAAAAAAGATGTTTATCTGAGCTTCCTGACTGTTTTAATACTGATTTAATATCTTAAATCTGTATACTATTCTGCATTAAAAAAATACTATCCTCTGTAAGGGAAGCAGGAAAAGTCTTTACTGTGTCTTCGGTTTCTAAGTTAGAAAACTGAGGCATACACAAGTAACTTGTCTCAGGTTAGTGGTGGAATACAGAGGTAGATCCAGATTAATATGATGGGTTATTGGCTTCTAATCAAATGTTTTCTCTACTATGTCAAATGACCTTAACTCCTTGCAATAGAATTTTATACATTTATTCCCATTTGCAATCCAAGAAAGTACAAGTTTGATTTTATACACAAATATATAACAGTTGCCAATACAAGAGTAATAATCACTTTACAAAATGCATAGGGGCACCTGGGTGGCTCAGTCCGTCAAGCCTCTGACTTTGGCTCAGGTCATGATCTCGCGGTTCATGAGTTTGAGCCCTGCATCAGCCTGCATCGGACTCTGTGCTGACAGCTCAGAGGCTGCAGCCTACCTCAGATTCTGTGCTCCCTCTCTCTCTGCCCCTCCCCTGCTTGCACTCTGTGTTTCTCTCTCTCAAAACTAAACATTAAAAAAAAATTTTTTTTAAAAATTTTTTTTTAACGTTTTTATTTTTGAGACAGAGAGAGACAGAGCGTGAACAGGGGAGGGGCAGAGAGAGAGGGAGACACAGAATCTGAAACAGGCTCCAGGCTCTGAGCAGTCAGCACAGAGCCCAACTTGGGGCTCGAACTCACGGACCGTGAGATCATGACCTGAGCTGAAGTCGGACGTTTAACCGACCGAGCCACCCAGGCGCCCCTAAACATTAAAAAATTTTTTAAATGTGTAACTCAGTGTTTTATAACTGTTATTTAAGTAAAAATATTTTTTAAAATCTTTATTTGCCTTTGTATAATTCTTTTGGCTAGCTTTCAAAATGACTACTTAGAAAACTCAATATATATGGAAATAACGATACTTTTGAAAGTCTGTGGCAGTTATCTATAATTAGGATTTGTGTTCACAAAGTATTCTTGTTTTGTACTTCATTTATTTTTTTTTTAATTTTTTTTTTAACGTTTTATTTATTTTTGAGACAGAGAGACAGAGCATGAACGGGGGAGGGGCAGAGAGAGAGGGAGACACAGAATTGGAAACAGGCTCCAGGCTCTGAGCCATCAGCCCAGAGCCCGACGCGGGGCTCGAACTCACGGACCGCGAGATCGTGACCTGAGCTGAAGTAGGACGCTTAACCAACTGCGCCACCCAGGCGCCCCTGTACTTCATTTATTAAACAAATATTTATTGAGCAACTACTCTGGATATCTCATTGTCTATTTTTTAACATTCAACTTTCAAGGGGGAAAGACGCCTGTTTTCCTGTGATGTATATACTACATGTAAACAATTATAAAACACATAATGAGTATTTTCTAATAAAGTATAAGGATCTAATAATGGAGTCTTTCACTTAATAAAAGATCTCATAAGAAATATAATTTGTGGGGAAGGGTAAAGAAAAAGAAATATAATTTGTTAAGATACCTACCTGTATGCTTCCTGACTCCTCCATATTTCTAGACACCTGAAATATTTCACTTTGCTTTATTAGTTTTGCAACTGTGAAATATTTGAATGTTAAAATTGGAATTGTTTATTAAAAGTCTTCAGGAAAACAGAAAAGGCATGGAATATTCTCTTTGGATGAACTGGAAGCAGCAGGAAAGAGTGTGCTGGTTTCATTCAAAGCAGCAATATTTTATTAGGGGGTGATTAGGTGAGATGATAAATGTAAAACCCCTAAATCAGTTACAATTCAAAAGAAAAGTATATCATAAAAAATACTTTATTTCAGGTATACTTCATAAAATATCTCCCTCTACATGATTCTGAGTTGGAAAGATAAACCAACTGAATCTATGTGGAGCAAATGTTCAAGTATTCTAAGTAGGACAAAATGATATATGAAAAAGTATCAGCAATAAAAGAATCCCTGACTATATTATCATACAAACTGATAGGAAGACAAGAGGGTGAGTTAATTTAAACAACTAAAAATTTGACCAAACCCAACGGTTGGATGCCAATTTCTACCTCATTCCCACGCTTACCTGTCTTCATGGTCTGGATAGACAAATAACTATCATTAAAAATATTTCCTTATTAATAGAAGCTATACTCCTTGAATGTTGTCTGTCTCAACAAGTTCTCATCAGATGATTAAATTTTATTTATTCATTTAAAAATAATTTATTAATCATCAGATGTATAGAATTTATCTCCAATCTACATAATCCAAAGGAACCGCTACAAAATTTTTTAGTAAAATGAACTGCCAAGGCACAAATCATCCAAGTCTGAGAATAGTGAGAGGCTGAGGGAATTAGTAAAGGTTAGAGCTTGTACAATTCTAAGTTTCCATGTGAAATCACTTTGGGTTGTTATTTAAAAGAAAGGCTGTTAACCATTTGGTAAAAACTTAGGTTCAGTGAGAAAACCACTCTGTTTGTATGTTCCAAGTTCAAGGCTCTCTACACCCTCTACACCAGAAATGGAACACGACGTTACCTTCAGGGATTTTAATAAATCTAAGGAACACTGCTAGCAAAAGAGTTGCTGTCCAAATAGACTGACACACACAGGCCAATGTAGCCCCTAATGACAGAGTAAGATAATGACAGGCCCCACTCAAAATCAGCAGGAAGAGGAAGATCAATCTTGGCAGAGTGAAGGAAAAATGCTGGCTTTCTTCGCGTTAGCTCATCTCATACATATCTAGCTTCAGCAGCTGCCCAGTGCTGTGGTGCTCTGCATTAACTACACAGTGGATCAATAACAATTACACCTTCTCAAAAACATGACACATAGCAGGATTGGGTTGACATTTCACTTAGGCCAACATTGATCTCAGTGCATCTGATTCCAGCCCTAAATTCAAGTCAGGCCTGGGTTTACTTGGAATAAACACAGAGTTAAAGACAAAAAAGGAAACCAGCTGCTTGCGTCTGGGTCTGGAAGTAAACAGCACTTCCCTTGGTGCAGTTCACATTTTCAATCCACAATTCTTCCTGTTGCTACCAGCAATTCTGAAGTTGATCAAAGACTATTTTTTTATATTATTTACTCACCGTGACATCAATGTTGATAATATCTCCATCCTGAAGAGGTCGACTGAAACATAAACAGAATAAAAATGGTGATAGACAGATCTCAATAAAAGGAATGTAAAAATAAATACCTAAGACTATCACACATCCAGTGAGTCACAATGATAATTTGGAGTGGAAGAGGAATAAATGGAATAACTATATCTAATCTTTAAGTTACATTAGTCACATCAAATTTTACAAGACATACATAATAGGAACATACTGCCATTGTTTAAAAATCTTTAAAACAGTCTTTAAAAAAATGTACTTATTAGTTTCCTTAATTTTGCAAAGACCCAAAACAACAGTTGATAATCTATATTTGCCTACATTTGGATTTTTACCATTTATATGGTTAAAACTTAAGAAGGTAAAAGAAATATTTCATGAACCATGACTTGTGTGGATTACACACTGCTTTAACAAACATTAAATTATGTCCCATTGAGGCAAAATACTTCAAAATTTTTGTTTTACCATAATCAGCTTCAAAAGTTTACAGGTGGGTTTCAATTAAACTAGTATCTTTCAACATATGTTATAGATCTTAGTTTCATGTTTTAGTTTCCGAAGGAACAATATGTTATTAAGCAATGAATACCTGTCAGGAATACCATGACATAGCACGTTGTTTACAGAGGTACAAACAGATTTTGGAAAACCTCCGTAGCCTAGAGGTGAGGGATAAGCATCATGACTGATGATTTCCTGATGGACAAGAGCATCTATCTCTTCAGTTGTCATGTCAACCTAAAATATTAAATAAAGAAATTGTGCAGCAACCGTTGAAGTCATTTCCTGCACTCATTGACTATGTCTACAGCTACAGTACTTTCTGATGAGATTATATAAATTTACTGTGACAAACTTGTGATACAACAGTTTAATTAATGGTGATTAACATTAAATTTTTAATTGTGCCTTTTGGACAACTGTTTGGGCATAGGATGGTGTTATGGGCTATTAGGAAATGGACACTTTAAACTCTAAGATCCTTTAAATTATCCGTGAGTCATTCAATGACATGACTCCTTTGGGCCTGAACACTTCACAAAGCTTCCTGGGCAATTCCTTCCTCTTCTTCAATGGTTAGTGCCTCAGGCTAGCTGAAGCATATAAATACACTCTCATAAGTATCTTCAGTTTAGATGACAAAGCTTGAAAAGTAGGTCATCCCACACGTTCTTATCTAAGAGAAATCTTACATGGGCTTTGCAGCAATGGTGGGGAGATTATGGATCATTATTTTAAAAATTCAGTCTGATACCTATCGTAGAAATTTGGTTTTCACAAATCTTGATTTCTTTCATACCTGAATAAATCCATTGTTTTAAAAAAATACTTTGGAGAGTATTTTTTCTCAAACTCAAACTAAAAAAAATCCTCTCTCAAACTAAAAAAAAACAAAAATAAAATTGAGTTTTATGAGTACATGAAGATATCTCCATAAACTCGTAAGTCATAAAATTCTGAAACAAAATCTTTTACTAAAAATTAACTATTTCTGTAATATTTCTTTGTGTTATTTGATATTCACATTAAGCTTAGTTATGTTGCTATAACAACTTTATTATACAAATGATACCCTAAGTGATTTCATTCCTGAGACTCACTTCTTAAATTCTGCCCACCTTTTGGAAACTACAGGCCCATATATATTTAAGGATTCCTATAAAGCAGGGTGTTTCTCAGATTATTCTGGAAGAACTAAATCTTGTAGTAAGATAGTTGTCCATAGTTACATTTTTATATTACCTATAGCTTTGTGTTATCTGCTCTAATCTTTCTTTGCAGAGCTAATGCAAGAAAACAGGAAACAAAGGATGAGGCAGAACAACTCTTCAGGCACACAGAAATAATGTGGGGAATAAAAGCAGAAACTACAGGCAGGAATAAGGAGGCAGAAGTCAGAGCTGTCTGCCCTGGATCAAGTTGGACAGGCTGACTGGGCCCAAAGTATTTCTGGAATCCTGATACTTAAAACTGAATTTGGATTTTAAGTTACCTCTTAAAAAAACACATAAAATAATAAAATCCCTTTCCCCCATCCCAGGCTTTACTTGGTTTTTAACAAATTAGATATATACAAAGGAAGAGTTAAATGGAAAGAAGGCAAAGAGGAGGGTTTGTTGCCCCTTCTGTAAGCCCTTCTGAGGCTTGGTGAGACGCCACCTTTAAACTCTTCCCAGCCAGGAGGAGGACACGACGGGCCAGCTGACAAGCCTGACGAAGCCCTTGAATCTGATCTTCATTCTTAACTTCTATGCTGTCTCCCCAGTCGGGTACAATGCCTGTCGTCACATAGTCTGGCTTCTTTATGTGCTTGAGGAAAAAGGATTGAAAATGAAGATCAGAACCCAGCACACGACAATGGGATCATTTTTTCGGACACAGCCTCCTGCTTCATGGAGCTCTGCCCTTCCTGCCGGAGCACCGACCTCCGAAGCCAGCACAACAGACCCTCCAGGCTGCCCCCAGTTCCTTCCCCTGCCCTTTTGAACTTAACGTTGCCTGTTAGTGCTGCTTCTGGATGGTCTGTTAACCTTACTGTGCTTTGAGTCAAACTGGTCTGAAGTAGACTTCTGGTCAAAACAAACAGTGGTTTTCTTTTCTTCCTCCTCCCATGCCCGTAAGAAGCATTATTGCCATTGATGAAAAAAATAGCACCAAGCTTCCAAATTGCCCAATGGCTAATTAAGAGCACTTTCATCTTTGTAACACAAAGATAAAATTTATGCAAAGGATAGCTCACAACACCCTCTCCGAATGAACGTATGTAAAAGGCTGACTGTCAAGTCTTCTGAAGCCTATTACGTAGACACTTTTCTTACACTTCGCAACTGTACCCAAACTAAGAAGGGACTAGAGAACAAAACCAAACAGCTTTCTTTTCTTTTTCTTTCTTTCTTTTTTTTTTAAGTGCATAAAGAATACCTAGAACATTTCCATCACTTGTCAAAAACAAACAAAGAAACCACCCCCCAAACTCAAAACATTCAACTCTGATCACCCTTGCAGAACATTCTCCACTGCTTACTTAAAACCTGTGGGCAGCATTCAGAAAATAAATACAATTTTACACACAGAGCTTCTTTCAGTCCCAAGGTTTTGCTCAGGTCTTTACAATCTATTTATGGAAAGTGCCACATAAGCATTGTTGAGCAGTACCCAGGAAGGGTACACGGCAGTTGGGAACAGGAAGCTGAGGGAGATAACGCTATTTCAATTGACATCACAGCAACTGTGGAAGGGCTGAGGTTAGGGGTCTGCTCTTCGTGAAGCGTATCACACAGGGCTTAGGACTGTCACTGATTCCTGTGTTCAGAGGGGCCTTCCTGACACAGGTAATGCCACTGCTCGCAGCACCACAGCTGAGCTCTGGATGAGCACCTGCTCCTACAGCTTTGCCACCAGGGCCCAAAGCTCGCTCGGTCTCCCCCGCAGACTGTGCTCTCGTCTCCACTCTGCTTTGTGATGTGGCCAGGTTACAATTACAGGCAGAAGGGCTACTGGGTTGTCACTGACACTTCTAAAACAATACATTCATCTCTCTGGACATTTCCTTTTCTTTCCCACTAAGGAAATACCAGGAATATACTTCTGGGCTCTGGTAGCCTGTCTCACTGGCCCCTTTCCACAAAAAAGGGCCACTCACTTTCAGGGAGTATAATATACTTAATGTGGGTTTACTGCTAAAAAAAAAATGCATAAAAGGGGGAAGGCAGGTGATTTTTGTGAGAAATCTATACTTCTTTCAGCTGTTCTCATTCTTCCTACATGACCCACACACCTCCTTTATACTGCATTTCGAAAATAGATTCTTTCCACAGAATTGTAATCTCTGAAAAAAAATCAAGAATGCTCTGAGGCAAGAGGTTTTATTTAATTATTCTAAAAGAGGATTCAAAAACAGCAGCACTAATCCTATGGAAAGTATAAGGGCAGGCTTTAGGAAAAAACACCTAGTGTATTGGCTTCAAGTAATCTCTCTTGAATGATCCCAATTTGACAGCCAATTTTTTTATTTCTCTGAAAAAGTTAAGAAACTATAGACACGTAATTTTACCTCCATGTTAGAAATTTAATATAGAAAATTTCATGGTAGAAACTAATTCTGAATAATCTAAGCAGCTGTAAGATGAGAGGTTTAGTTAAAAAAAATTAACGTGATAGAACTGCAGATGTTACAACTTCTCAAATCACAATTTTAAATCATAAACCAACTTTAAAAATTAGGATTCAAAAGGCTCAGAAATGAAAGGCGCAAACACATTTGATCGCTTCTGCAGTTAACCTTTATCTTGGCTGGAAAAAGCAGCAGATCATAGGCAATACAGTACCTCAGGCACTGGGTGGGCTGGAGAAGCTGCGGCCGGCAAAACTATACTGTGTGAAATATCTCTTTGTCTCCGGAAAAAGAAATTTCTTCTTTGTTGACTGCTTGACTGCTTGTGTAAGTAGATATGATTGAATGGTGAAGACAGAATTCTATGATAACCTATGAGCAGAAATAGGCATATTTTAAGTTAAAAAAACCTAACATAGTGCTACATGTTAAGATGCTGCTTTGTTGTCTATTAAATCATTATCCTAATCCTTCACTGGCTCAAAAAAGGAAAAGCCCCAAATAGAAAGGAAAGCAGTGGTATTCTGAGTTCTAGTACAATAATAGCACAGCATATTTATTAGCTAATACTATGTTTACATAAATGTTTGACAATGGAAAACTCCACTCTAACGGGAAACAAACATATAGAAGCATCTGCTAAGTACCAGGTCTGCAAAAAGAACAATTTCTGTTGTGGTACCTTATGCAGCAAATGTGCGGATGACCCTAGATTCAGGGCACTGTTTGGGTGGCTTTATATTCTTTAAAGCTGTTTTCCTTTCAAGAATCATGGACAAATTGCCAGCTGCACTTTTTGCCCTTGATAGGATTACTACTCTGTGTTAAGTTCACGTGCAGGGAGGCATTATACCAAAATTCACTATGATGAATGCTCAAGTCAGATAAAGACTAAATAGCAGAAGCGTAGGGTGTAACCCTGAAACAAAATGAACACAGGATCCGAAAGTACCCACAACAGGAATTTAGAAACATCTATCGAAAATTTTAAATGCACATATCCTTTGACTCAGCAGTTCATCTCCTAGGACCTTACCTTGCAGGTATTATGCAATAATGGATATACGAAGATGGACCCTCACTTTGTAGTAGAAAAAAAGGGAAATAACACAAATTCCCCTCAATGGGGGACTGGGGAAATCTTTATGGTATATCTACGCAACAGAAAACTATGAAGCTATTGGAGAAGAAGCTAAATCATTTTTATGTGTTGACATGTAAAGAAGCCACCATCCATTGTCAGGAAAAAAACACATGCTGAACAATATGTATAAAAAGCCCATTGATGTAAAAATAATTTATACATTTATATAAGTTTGTATATGCCTATAACATTTCTGAAAATTGATACTCATCAACAGTGGTTATTTTTGGGGCATGTGATTGGGGCTGGGGGTGGGGAGGAAGACTTCCTGATTCATTTTATCTTCTTCTATACTTCTAACCATCCACTTTTTAAACCATCCACTTGCACTACTTTTATAATTAAAACAATAGTTTGAAAATTCCCCGACATATCACAATTGCACATCAGGGATCAGCAAACGATAGCCCGAAGGCCAAATCTGGCCTGCTGCCTGTTTTTGTACAGCCCATAACCTAAAAGTGATTTTTTATGTTTCTAAATGGTTAAAAAGAAATAAGAAAATAATATTTTTTAATATGTGAAATCATATGAAATTCAGATTTCAATGCCCATAAATAAAGGTTTATTGGAACACAGCTTATAATTATCTATGGCTGCTTTGAGCCACGGTGGCAGAGTTGAGTACTTGTGACAGAGACTGTATGACCCACAAAGCCCAAAATAATTACTATCTGGTCATTTACAGAAGTTCATCAACTTCTGGTCCAGAGCACTGCTTCTCAAAATGTGGTACCTAGACCAGCATATCAACGCCACATGGGAAAAATGCAAAATATCGGACCCCTTCTCAATTTACTGACTCAAACTTTGGCATGGGGCCAGCAATCTGTGCCTTCATGAGCCCTCAGGGTGATTTTCCTGCCCATTAAAGTATGAGAATTACTGGCCTAGAGTAACATTTCAGCTGTGAAACATAATAGAAACGTGAACTGCTGGTGAGTACTGGCCTCCAAAGTCAAGATCTCCAAGTGAACTGGAAAACGGCACGGACACAAACAAACCCCAGTGGTCAGTGATTCAGTGTCCTAAGTTTCACTCAATTACGTTCTTCCATAAAGTTGAATGTAATTGTGCTGAATCAAACTTCTAGAATCGTTTTGGTGTTATTTTAAACAATTCCAAATACTAGACAAAATGCAGCAATACCACTTCTTTTAAATATCAAAAGTTCTTTTAAATAGAGGCAGGTACATATTCCCTGCAGCTTGTACATTTCCAGAAGACACCACCACCAGCTCTAGGACTGTCAACTGGTATATGGGGGCAGGGCATTTTCCTAGGAAAAGCAGATGGTTAGAAAGCAGAAGCTGGACTTTCATTTAGGCTCTATCACTCAGTAGCTGTATGGCCCTGATCAAGTTTCTTCTTTTGAGTCTCAGGTGAGAATTAATTAGAATATGTGAAAAAGTATGTGAAAACACTTTGCAGTCTAATAAATGGTATTTCCTTCAAGAACGCTTAAAAAGTGAAATGAGAAAGAAAATATGTGCTCCATTATAGCTTCTAATACTGAGCACTTACTATGTGTCAATTACTGTACTAGGCACTTTACATATGTTCGCTCCTGAATCTTAATGAGAACGCTATGCGTTGTGAACTGTTATTGCTTCATTTCACAGTTGAAGATACTGAGGCACCCAAAGGTAAGTAACTTCCCCAGGGACATGTAGTAAGTCCCAAAGCTGTGAGAAGGCAGATCAACTTGCCTCCCCAAAATATATTATTTTTCTCATACATATGAAAAACATCCAGAAAACGTAAAGGCATTACAAAACTATTAAAAGGTACTACCATTAGGTTATTTTTCCAAAAGTGGTTTTGGGTTGACCTAATCCATCCACTCTCTCAAGCCCTGCTCCCTTCGTTGACCAAACACAGGCTTCGGTGAGGTGGCTGACAGAAGTTGGCTGGCAGTCTAAGGATATGGAACAGAAAATCTGGATCCCAGCTAAAGCAAAGACTTAGGTGGAATCAACCGATGACTCCAGGCTCCCTAACTGCATCCCTAGATAGGATCACAGACAAGACACAAGGTTGTAAGTATTTCCCTTTTGAGGAAAGTATGCGTTATGATTGCTGTTCTGGTAACACTAATGGAATTAGTAACAATAATAATGTGGTTAACATTTAATGGCCACTTTCTTTAATGAAGTTCAGTGCTAGGTGCTCTACATACACGATCTTTTCCTTACCAATTCTGTCTGGTAGGCAGGCGGCTGTTGATGGCACCATTTTACAGATGAGGAACTAAGACTCACACCTCTAGTGGTCAATGGGGGGCCTAAGGCTCCACATCCCCTGCCACCAAACCAAGGACTGTGTCTGCCACTCCTAGATGCCTTTCTATAGTGTGCAGGGGCTCTAGTAGATAGCATGCTTTTCTTTTTTTCCTCAGGGATTAGATTTAAAGGAAAGTTTTTCAAAAAATTATGAAAAAATAAACATGGGACCATCCAACATTTAGAATGAAGGTACTTTTCACGAAAATTCTTAGATCTGACCTAATTGGGAGGCATTGTAGCAGTGAAAATAGAAGGAGCTTTGAAGTCAGACAGATCTGAGTTACCAGAACTTCAGCGCCCCACATTCTTCACCATTACGTGGGAAGAACAGTGCTTTCCTCTACACTAGGCTGTTGTGAGCATGAGCTAACATATGTATGTAAATCATCTTAAAAAGCAGGTGTTCCATAAGCGTTAATTTTTTTTTCCTTTCCCTTCTCAAATCTGCAACATGTTTACCTGCAGGCCTCTAAATTTATTTATTATTTTATTCAACAACTACTTACTGAGCTCCTCCTATATGCCATGCTCTGGATGCAGACTGAACCAGGTGACAAAGTCCCCGCTCTCATGGAGCTTATATTCTGTGGCAGAACACAGACAACAAGTAAACCAACAAATACATTAGATTACATAAGATGGTGATATGCATGATGAAAAATGGGCCAGGGTGAGCAGCAGATGGCACCTTGGAACTATGGTTCTGCTCCTGGTCCCGCCAAAACCTAACTATGTGACCTCAAGTAGTAACAATAATAGTGAACATTGGTTGAGAGCTTCCTGGTGCCAAGCTCTATGGTGAGCACTTCAGACGCTGCCCACTGATACAGAAAGGCTTAAGAAAATGAGGGAGTTGTACTTTATGATCTTTGAGGTCTCCTTTAGCTCTGACATTTGTGCCTTCATTCAGCAGCATCTGATTGTCATGCTACATCCCACGCAATGGGATGATGTAGATGCCGATCAATTTTAGGACGTATGAAGATTTTTTTCAATGCAGCTGATTACATGATAGAGAGATCATCTTTATCAGCATTATCAAGTTCAAGTACACAGTCATTACAGGGGGAATCTTTTTTATGTACTTAAACTTGAGGCACGAAGTCACCAGGCCTCTACTTGGATATCTGGCTCAGGCTTTTGAGACATTGACTTTTAGAATGAACAGTGTTGCCAATGTACCTGTCCTGCCAAATGATAGGCTCACTGCCGAAAAGATGCAGGCACACCCACACATGACTTAAACACTGGGAACACAGCCTGAACATATCCAATCTGTTGACAATTACAGTTCTGCACTCTACTCAGAAATTCCACTTTCATATGATACTTTTTTATTTGAAGCAAAATCTTTTCTTTCAATCTGATAAAAGACACCCTATAAATGCTGTCACAAGGTAACAGGATAATAAGGTACCATACCGTGTTTATTTCACTAACTATTCATTACAAACTAGAAAAAAAATCTACTGTTTTCACAGGTGAAATGAAGAAATGGGCTTAAGAAATACATGCCTTTAGAAGATAATGGTCCTCCAATTAATGTGGCAAAAAAGAGGTGGGGCAAAATCCTCTATTTTGTTTATCATATTATAACTAATAAATAGTAGTTAACAAATTTTCTAAATGCAGAGTGAGTAAAATTAAAATCTCCAGTACCAATTATATTCAGGGTCGAAGGATAACCAAACTATAGTTACTGCTACATACTATTCTAGAAAAGGTTTGCTGAGTTTCCTTTGTATTTCCCTTCTTTATAAAGGCACTGCTTTGTACATTGGAAATTAGTACAATACAAATATTATGTTAATTATATCTCAAGTAAACAAAGAAACAAATAAATAAGAGCACTGCTGATACCTTATCACAACTGCATCTAACTTTCCAACTTGCTACTGTCAATGTTACAGCTAATTTGATGCACAACATCCATCATCACAGGC